CAAACCCTTTTCTCACCCTCATCCCCTGGCAACTGTTGATCTAGTATTCGTCCTTATGAGTTGAGGTTTTACAGAATGTCAAAAAACTTGAATCATGTAGTATATAGCCTTTTGAGTCTGGCCTTTGTCACTTAGCATAGTGCATTTGAGACTCATTTATGTTGTTCAGTATCTCAGTATTCTTTTTATTACTGAGTGATGTTCCATTGACTGTGGAGCAGATATATTAACAATCTTGCTGAATTTTGTTCTGTCTGATTTTTAGCTTTCCAAAGTGTTGGATCTTCCACCAGAAAGCTTGATCAAGTCAATATCTGCAGTTCCAGTTTCCAAAAAAGAGTTAAGTATAATGTATTTGTAACAATCTAAAATGTTGCTGACTCTTACCAGCATACCGAAAAAAAAACCTTACTCTCCAATTTATAGAATATCCTTGAAATTAACCTTAAGATATGATTTAACCTATTCTCATTGATTTAAATAATAAAATTAAAATCTGTATTTTATGTACTCTGACATGGCGGATTGTATTAGTATTCTCATGTTGTTTTGATGTTTGTTTATGCTAATAACCATTTTAAGAAAAATTAGGAATGAAGTTCAAATTTAATTCTGTAACAGAAAATGGAAGAGCTAAGATCATGGTTAGAATCTTGGTTTTTGAAGAGATCTTAGAGATTATGTACCTATCTGAAGCTTGAATACTGTTATACCATATTTTTCTGTTTGTTTGTTTTTGTGGTTTTTGTCTTTGTTCTATGTGTTTCCATTGGAGGACTCCCAGTGACAGAGAAGTACAGGTTAGCCCTGTGTAGAACAAATAGCTGCTTTCTTGGGTGGAGGGAGAGGTCTGTCTCTATGAGTATGGTTATTCTAATTGATACATGTTTACCATTTGGCCAGAACTCTTAAATACTTGGATAAAATGCCATCTCAGTCAAGTAATAATGACAAGAAATTAGCTGCATAGTAAGCATTTATGCCCTAAGCTTTAGAAAGATATAAAGATAAGATTATCAGTATCATTATGTCCTCATATTTTGATTCCTTAACTTTGTCAGGATTTTAATTCAGTAGGATGATATTCTTGTATCCAGAGTAGGACAAAGAGTTAAGTGGAAAAGGAAGAGAAAGGTTTCATATGGTCCTGTAAAAGAGAGCATTTTTACGTGACCTGCTGCCATTTTTAAACTTCCTCTGTATTAGGTTTCAATAGCAGAGGCAACTGACCAGAGGGACCTCATAATTATATGTCAATTGATATATATTCCAAACCAGCCACTTATTTCATAAAATCTATAAATGACATTCTGCATAGTATTGGGAATATCTCAGTTTTTATTTTATGTTTCAAAGGTCATTAATAAGCTGAACTATGTTGGCCCATCTTTTCAGTAAGATTTCCTTTACTTGCCTGGAGCTCCTTGGGGCAGCTCCGCTTTAACAATCTGAAATACAAAGACTGGTTCATAGAAAATAAATACTGGAGATGACCTCAAAATTTTTCAAGTTACATGTCTAAAATTCTGCATGTTAAATTTTAGAACAAAGAGAATTTAGAACAAAGAGAATCTCTTCTGCTTTGCTGTAATAGACCCAGGTATCCTTTACAGTATTAAAACCAATTTAACTATTCTATATTTCTACCTTTATTCTGAAATGTTAAGTTTCAGGAGAATTAAGAGATACTATTTTTGTTAATATAATTAGGGTGATATGAATAAGTTTAATCAGATCTCCTAATTCAATTATATTTTTAGCTCTGGTAGAATTTCTGTTTATTACTGATCATGGTAGAAAGGATTAATAACTTCATTACAAGCTAGTAATACTCAGGTCTATGGATTTCACTGTTAACACCACACTCCTCAGAAGTAGTGAGAAAGTAGCTATTGTTTTTTCAGCTTTTTAAAAAAATTATGAAAGAATACTTGAATGAACCTGCGTGCCCATCGCTCACTATCATCAGGACATGGCCAGTTGTGTTTCCTCTATACCCCCACCACTCTACTGCTTCGCAATGGGTTATTTTGATAGCTACTGCTTTTCATAGTCTGATGTTATGTTGTTTTACAAGCTTTTTTAAAAAATTAGTTTTTCTCCCACAAAAACAAAACGTAGAATCTTAAAGAAATTTAGAAAATACAGAAGAATAAGAAGAGGGAAGATAATCTTTTAGTCTGTTATCTTAATACAATAGTCTTACTACAGTAAGACAACTGATATTAGCAAGTTGGTATTTTTTTACATTTTCTATTTAAACTTGTCCTATAGCTTTAAAAAAAATAGAGGTGTAAAACTAAAGTGTGATTTTTGAACTCTTTTCCCTAGACATCATTCTTTTTCTGTAAATAACACTTTTAACAATGGCTAAGTAATACTCTAAGCTCTGCTATTGATGCATTTAGATTATTTTCAGTTCTGAGTTTTTACATAATTCCCATTCAAGAATTACCTCTTTAGATAGACAAAACTTTCTTGTGGCTATATGATTAAAAGCTCCTAAAAGGGAAATTGGGAGGTAGGTCAGGTCTTTTTGAGATCCCGTTCTCACTTCTCTAAAACACATACTTCTCTTTTGGGCCTATCTTGTCAGCAAATAACCCTGCACATAATTTCAGAATTCTTGTTTTGAATATTCCTAGTATAATAAATTGGTGTTAATCATTGTTAATGGACTAAAAGGGTGGTTTTTATCCTACCATTAGATTAATCTAATTGATCTAATTGGAAATACTTATAATACAGTTTTTTAATTGAATTGGTCTAGACTAAAATTGCAGATGCCTCCTACTACTCTTAATTTATTAAAACTCTATAGAAGCTCATGTGACTTCTTTGTGTTTTTGGATGTTTGGGAGCCATCCTATAAGCTTATGGTCATACCACATCTTTTATAAGGTATTCTAGCTATATGTAAAATACCACAATTTAATCTTTGGTATATGAAAATGTATAAATTTCTATTAATATCATCATATGGCTCTTACTACTTTTAATTAAAAATTTTTTATTTTCAAAAATCTTTGTGTTTATGTATTATTCCAATTTGTTAAATTAATTTCCTCAATTTCCCACATTATTGCCCTAAATTCTTGACTAAAATATCAGAGTCCTTTGTTAAGAATGAATACAATAAATACTTTCAAACCTTATATGAGTTTTTCTACAACGAAAGTTAATCTTTAAATTGAATTCTTATGTAATGGTTGTGAATAGTCTGAGAAAAGAAACAAAGTACAATTTACTGACCAACCCAATACATGAAGAGCTACAGGACTCAGTACAGATACTATTTAACATTTTTATTTAACATCACAACTAGGATTGGTAGTATTTGACCCTGATTCACTTCACAGTGTTGCTGAGCAATGAGGGGCCATTATCATCACCATTTCACTGAGGTACAAGGAGGGCTAAGCAAACTGCTCAAATCACACAGGTAGTGATTGACGGGTGACCTTGGGTCCACAGTTACAGCCCAGATGTCGTAGATGAGTTTGGGTTGTTACATGTAATGCACACTAGGCTGACGGATAATGGATTAAGGCTCAGGAAAATTCTTAATGGTCATGTTGACTAGGTTCTTGAATATGATATTAAACAGAAGTAATACAGATTTTTCAAGCGTGTCCTTAGATTTCAGGAGTAATAAAAACAAAGTCACCTGTGCCCCTTTAAAATATGTCCTTTTGTGTCTGTGACAATGGGCTATACAAACAATGATTCAACCCACTTACTCTGCCCATAGAGTCTCATTCTCTAGTTCCTTATTAAATACCAGAAGATGTTCAGTGTGGCTAATTATATAGGTGTTTGTAGATCAATTAAACACTTTTTCACACTTTGAACTATTTCAGACTAACAGGAAAATTTATAGAGGATAATGTAATGAACACTCACACCCTCCCTTTCTAACATGTCAAGTGTAAACTTTTTTCAGAAGTGACTGTTGTAACTATCTCACAGGGGTACCATAAAGCTACAGGTAGGTGATGGAAGAGGAAGAATTTTATAAGATGGTAAAGATAAAGTTCTAAGTCTATACAAGATGATATTTCTAATTGCTTTGTATTTTGAAAGCATAATACCTTCTGATAAATTGTGTCAGTGTAAAAGAACACAAAGTGATTAGTGCCTTTTTTTTTTACACTAGTAATGTTTTTAAGGTAACAACAGTTTTATCCTGTTTCATTGTCTGTTTTTAGAGAAGTAGCTGATTTTCAGCTTTCTGTGGATTCTCTATTAGAAAACAACAATGACCGCCTAAGACAGGATATTCAAGTTCAAGCCACAAGACTGGCAGAGAAGGTACTTTAGCACTGTTATGTTTTTTTGATATTATAATGAACTTACTGTCTTAAAAATACTCTGCAAGCTATTGTCAGCCATAGTGAATTTAATAGTGTTTCTTTGTTCAAGGCACCTTAGAAAATATAGCTTGAATTCATTTTAGCCATGTACTTACTGTAAGGTTAGGACGAGTTTTCAAATTAATTACAGGGTATTCCCTCTTGAGCTGACATTGTTCAATTTTTAGATTCACTACTTACAAGAGGACTGAAGTGTTCATTAAATTTACAGACTGAAGCTGGATGGACTTCTGAATTTAGAGAGCAGGCTTGATAAATTAGAGCAGTGGGTTACAGTTTTTAAAGTGAGATTCTGAGAATAAAAGAAAAAATGATTAGATGTAAATAGGATCATGATAGCAGAGAAGCAGCGGTTAGATGATTTAATAAACCTCTTTCATTTCTAATTTCTCTGATGGGGTTTGTATATAAAAGAGGAATTGAAAGGATTGTAGAGAATGACCAAATCTAAATTGTTAGTGTAATACCATCAGAGAAGGTAAGTTTTTAAAAAATAGGGTTTATACAGGTGACTGAGAGGAGTTATTGGGCACACTGAAAAATTGGAATAGTGTCAGTCACTATCATAGAACATGTTTACAGATGGCCATTATCATCACCATTTCACTGAGGTACAAGGAGGGCTAAGCAAACTGCTCAAATCACACAGGTAGTGATTGACGGGTGACCTTGGGTCCACAGTTACAGCCCAGATGTCGTAGATGAGTTTGGGTTGTTACATGTAATGCACACTAGGCTGACGGATAATGGATTAAGGCTCAGGAAAATTCTTAATGGTCATGTTGACTAGGTTCTTGAATATGATATTAAACAGAAGTAATACAGATTTTTCAAGCGTGTCCTTAGATTTCAGGAGTAATAAAAACAAAGTCACCTGTGCCCCTTTAAAATATGTCCTTTTGTGTCTGTGACAATGGGCTATACAAACAATGATTCAACCCACTTACTCTGCCCATAGAGTCTCATTCTCTAGTTCCTTATTAAATACCAGAAGATGTTCAGTGTGGCTAATTATATAGGTGTTTGTAGATCAATTAAACACTTTTTCACACTTTGAACTATTTCAGACTAACAGGAAAATTTATAGAGGATAATGTAATGAACACTCACACCCTCCCTTTCTAACATGTCAAGTGTAAACTTTTTTCAGAAGTGACTGTTGTAACTATCTCACAGGGGTACCATAAAGCTACAGGTAGGTGATGGAAGAGGAAGAATTTTATAAGATGGTAAAGATAAAGTTCTAAGTCTATACAAGATGATATTTCTAATTGCTTTGTATTTTGAAAGCATAATACCTTCTGATAAATTGTGTCAGTGTAAAAGAACACAAAGTGATTAGTGCCTTTTTTTTTTACACTAGTAATGTTTTTAAGGTAACAACAGTTTTATCCTGTTTCATTGTCTGTTTTTAGAGAAGTAGCTGATTTTCAGCTTTCTGTGGATTCTCTATTAGAAAACAACAATGACCGCCTAAGACAGGATATTCAAGTTCAAGCCACAAGACTGGCAGAGAAGGTACTTTAGCACTGTTATGTTTTTTTGATATTATAATGAACTTACTGTCTTAAAAATACTCTGCAAGCTATTGTCAGCCATAGTGAATTTAATAGTGTTTCTTTGTTCAAGGCACCTTAGAAAATATAGCTTGAATTCATTTTAGCCATGTACTTACTGTAAGGTTAGGACGAGTTTTCAAATTAATTACAGGGTATTCCCTCTTGAGCTGACATTGTTCAATTTTTAGATTCACTACTTACAAGAGGACTGAAGTGTTCATTAAATTTACAGACTGAAGCTGGATGGACTTCTGAATTTAGAGAGCAGGCTTGATAAATTAGAGCAGTGGGTTACAGTTTTTAAAGTGAGATTCTGAGAATAAAAGAAAAAATGATTAGATGTAAATAGGATCATGATAGCAGAGAAGCAGCGGTTAGATGATTTAATAAACCTCTTTCATTTCTAATTTCTCTGATGGGGTTTGTATCTAAAAGAGGAATTGAAAGGATTGTAGAGAATGACCAAATCTAAATTGTTAGTGTAATACCATCAGAGAAGGTAAGTTTTTAAAAAATAGGGTTTATACAGGTGACTGAGAGGAGTTATTGGGCACACTGAAAAATTGGAATAGTGTCAGTCACTATCATAGAACATGTTTACAGAACTAATTTGATAAAGGGTCTTTAGTATGACTAAAATAATTTTAGTCATAAAAATCCCATATTTTTATCAGGAAGTACACCAGGAGAAGAATTATCCTAATTACTCTATTTAGTCTCTTTCCCCCATCTCCACTGAGTTCTCAGAAACAAAGATTAGTGGCTCTTTCTTGACAGTAAGTATTTCTTCAAGTGTCATGGGTATGTCAGGTACTTTGAACATCTAGTTGGTTAAAATGTTAAGGCCCATTCACTAAAGACAATTTTTAAATCTATTTTCACATTAGGCATTGGTGCAGGCATGTTAGCGTAGGCCTCAACACAGTGTCCTGTGCCATGGCTCTTGTAAAGACATGTGAGATAAAAGGAGTTCATTGCATGTTGGGGTACATAGGATAGGGGTAAAATACTTTCTTCCTTGTTAGTTGGGGAATGGGAAAGATGAAGAGACTGTGAACCCAGAATAGTGTTCTACTTAGGAAAACAAGAACTGAATACAGAATAGCTTTCTAATCAGGAAAAAAAGAAAATGTGTTTACCCAAATACAGTGAAGAATTGAAGAGACTGGCTAAGTCCCAGGACCAGATATGCTGTGAGAGATGATGTACCCACTGCCATTGGATGCCAATTTGATGGGATCAGAACTGCAAATCTCATCAGGCCTATTTTATCTTTTCAGCTAAAATGTGATACAGTGGTGAGTGAAATCAGCACTGGTCAAGGGACTGTAAATTTCAAAATAAACAGAGAACTTTTAACAAAGGTAAGAACAGGTATGTTCCAGCTGTTGCACCTTCAGTCTCTCCATCTGCTTTAGGTACGGGGTTTTCCTCCAGTTCTTAAATTTACTATTCCTCCTCTTGTCTCAAAACCTTTGCACATTCTGATCCCTCTGCCTGGTTGCAACCCCACATTATCTTAATTCTTCAGATCTTTATACTTCCTGGGCAGTGCCTTTCTGACCCCTTCATTTTTCTGCTCTCACAACATGGTATTTGTCTCCTTGGCAGAACTTACCTAGTTGATATTTTACATTCCTTTTATTTGATCAATGCCTGTTGTCGTTTGAACTCTAATTCCCACTAGCACTAGGTCTTATGGCATCTGTTTTTCTCACTCTTGGGTCCCCAGTTCCGAGCACAGTGCCTAGCACGCAGTAGGTGCGAGATAACTATCATTGAGTGAATTAGTGGACTCTGTATTGAATATAAGAAAAGTACTGCTGGTTTCTGCTCTCTGGTAGCTTACAATCTGTTGGAAGCATAGATTTATACAGAAGAAACCCTAAAACAACTTCTTCTAATAAAAATATTCAAACAAACAAAAAAAGATGATTGATACTGTAAGCATAAGATCAGAAGTGGAGAAATCAGGATGGCCTGAGGCATCCCATGAGTCACGTAGTATTGGATCACTTGTGAGTGAGACTGTGGGTGACAAGTAATCCTTGATAGGCAGTGATGTGAGACCTTTTATTGAGAGTTCATCTCAATTGAACTTTAAAATTTATCATATTACATACTTGGATCTACTTTTTTTTAAAGAAATACATACCATATTGACTTGGTTAGGCTTGGTAAATGCTGCAGTTTTGAATTGAAAATAATTATAAAACCAAAATTTCTAATAACATAGTTTCTCACCAGGGTTATTGAATTTACATGTATTTGTACATCAGCTCTATAATTCTTCTGAAGGAGTGTTAGTGTTTCATGCTTTTGTCTATCTTTGAACATTTTCCTTTTAACTTTTTAAATTTCCACTTCCAGGTAAGTTAGTTCACCAAAATCAGCCCCAAGAATGAGTAGGAAATTTGTTTTGAGCTTGTTAAAAATTGTATATATATAACCTGCTGGTCTCTTGATGACATTTCATGTCAACTTAGCAAACCAGTGAGTCTAATTTACCATTTTTAAATAAATGACTCTTTCTTTCAGTTACTATCTTAAGTCTTATGAGGCAGCTTGCCAAAATGCCCACCAAGCTTTAGGCTACTTGATAGGCAAAATATTATACATTTTTTGTTTTCCCTGAGATAGGAAAGTATACTATAGTAGATGGAATTTGCCTTTACAGCCAACTTAGCTGAAAGAGATGTGGTTTGTATATCGAGAAATGCATATATTTCCTTAACAATTTAAAATTCCAATGGTCATGCCACAGACACATGAAAAGGTGCTCAACATCAGTAATCAGCATGAAAATGCCAATCAAAACCACAGCAAGATATCACCTCTCACCAGTCACAATGTCTGTTATCTAAAAGACAAATAACAAATGTTGGTGAAGATGTGGAGAAAAAGGGAGCCCTCCTACACTGTTGGTGGGAATGTAAATTGGTGCAGCCACTATGGAAAGCAGTTTGGAGGTTCCTCAAAAAACTAAAAATAGAAATACCATATCACCCAATAATTCTACTTCTAGAAATTTACCCAAAGAAAACAAAATCTCTTATTCAAAAAGATATATGCATCCCTATATTTATTGCCACATTATTTACAATGGCCAGGATATGGAAGCAACTGAAGTGTCCATCAATAGATGAATGGATAAAGAAGATACAGTACATATATACACAATGGAATATTATTCGGCCATAAAAAGGAAAATAATCTTGACATTTGTGACATGGTTGGACCTAGAGGATATTATGCTAAGTGAAACAGATTAAACAGAAAAAGACAAATATATGATTTCACTTATATGTAGAATCCAGAAAACAAAATAAATAGACTCAGCAGGCACGGAATAGACTGGTGGTTGCTATAAGGAAGGGAGGGAGGGGGTGGGTCAATAGATGAAGGGGAAAAACAAATCAATGAGACTGTTTGATACCTTGATCTGGGTGATGGTTACATGAGTGTGTACATATGTCAAAATTCATCAAGCTGTATACTTAAGATTTGTGTATTTTATTGTATGTACCTCAATTTAAAAAGGAAAAAATTTCAGTGGCCTTAAATTTTCAGGCTTTATTACAATTAACAAACTATGAGATTTTCTTTGGTTTAAGGATGCCCACTAGCTTGCTTAATGAAAACATTTCCAAGTACTTCTCAATTGACAACGGAGGGACAAGAGTTAGGGCTTTGAGAATTAGCTATTCTTTCTCACAAAAATGCAGCCTTGATGATCTGCATTTTAGTGTGATTTTATTAAGAAAACAAGCAGATTGCTCATAGTAGCCCTGCTCAGTGTCACAGTAAAGATACATCCTAGAGTAGTGAACATACATAGTCTGAAAAGGGGGTGTTGAATGTGCCTGTTATAAGTTAAAATTTTTGTACAAAAATTCTTGTTTGCTTAAGGTCTAATTTCTTCTACATCTGGCTCCATTATTTTCAGGCCTTAAACAGTGGTTGTTTGCATTTCCAATGAATTTTTTAGATCACATCAAGAAAAAAAAAATCAAACCCTCCATATGACAATTAAAAAACTTTTTCTTTTTAACATTTTAAAGTTATTAAGATTGACATGTGGCCAGTGATCTATGTCCACAGCTTCTCAGAGATGTACGAATTTGTCGTAGCTTATATATGTACAAACAGCCTTGCAGAAAACACATCCATTCATGCATTGTAACTGCATTATTAGCACTGGCCTCTCCGGGATGATTGGATGTTAGCTTAAGTTTGGATTGCTAATAGCGACTTAAAATGTCTTCATATAAATCATCCTCCAAGGTAGAAGGCTATATTGTGAAATAAAAGGCAATGGGAACCGTCCGATCTATGGGACTAGCTAATTTTTCAAAGCTGTAAGTTGGTATGACCAGTTGATACATTGTAAAGAACTATCGCTTTGGTACCAAACTTTTACTTGTCAGAAGCTTACAGATGACTTTAAAGGGAAGTTGTTACTTCAAATAATAGTTAATTAAGTTTAGGGAAGAAAAGAAAGAAAATACAATGTTAATTAAATAGGAAGAAGCAAACAAAATCCTGTTTTTGGGGAGTGCTTTAAAAATGCACAATGGATAACATTTTTATTTCACAGGTACACATGCATTTTATTTGCCAAATTCAACTTGTTTGCTCTACCAAAACTTCAGGAAAAAAAGAAAAAGAGATACTAATTTAAATAGCTCTGATTCTACTGATTATTTCTGCCAACGGGCAGTAGATGCATTCAAGTCATGTGTAGTATCAATTGGCCGGGCACATGGATAGAATGAATGATTAAGTACTTTTCAACTATTGCCCAAAGAACCAACTAGACAAATGCGTAGTGGTACCTTCCTTAGAAATACCAGTGAGAGCTGTAGAGAAAAAGCTACCAACAAAGAGTTAAATAAAATGACAAAAACCATTAACAGAAAAAAGTGATGGCAATATGCAAAGTACCAGCCATTCAGAATATTCATTAATTTCTAAAGAATTACAAAAAGTGAAACCTTTGACAGATTTAATTTCTGGTTATAAAACTCTTAGGCACTTATACTTATATTAATGAGTACATCTTATAATTAAACATAATTATTGATGCAGAGATGGGCCTGTAGCTTATTCATCTATTGAAATATCAGGGAACTTTACTAGGTCACTGACTTTCTGTAGTTAAAAGCTTTCTAATGTAATAAACTTATTGCTTATAATTTGCTAAGGACTGAAATCTAAAGATAAAATGATCCTGCCCTCAAGGAATTTGTGATCGAAAAGAAAAGCATAAAAAATATCACAGTGTAATATGTGATGATTATGGTAAGTGAAGAGTAATACAATGGAGGCATGTATAAGCTGCAATACAGTGTGGAGAAGTACACAGATGTCTATCTTGATGAAAGTGGAGGTAACCTTGAATTGGGATAAAAACAAAGAAGAATATACCTGGGAAATACACGGGCAGGCATTCTAAGCAGAGGGGACAGATTGGGCCGGAGTATAAGCAGTCAATAACATGGCATTGCCTGGAAATCAGCAGGTGATTTGAGTATGGTTTGCACATAGAATGGCATGGGGAGGAAATGAAATCACACAGCGGCCTTACATGCTTTGCATAAAAATTCAGCTTTTTCCTATGTCATTATTTTCCATAGATGTGTTTTATATACCACAGTTAGCACATGTGTGAATTTTGGCGTGACATTAATGAAGTTTACTCATTTTAATAGTTACATATTTATTATAAGAAAAAAACTAACACTTCTAACATGTGATTTTTATAGATATTACAATGTGTCTTTTAACAAAATTTTCTCAAGGTTTAAAAACAATGTGGAAGTAAAGTAAAAATCAAGTCGGAAATTGGTAAAATCTTTTAAATAGTAGGGAATCTTTAAATGGTTTAAATAGAACTTCAAGTTGATTAAGAATATATATGTTATATAAGAAGATCAGTGTTATTTTGTTGTGGTGGTTGTTTTTGTAGTGGTGTAGCTGACAAATGCTGAGGGGCTCAACCAGGCCAGAAGGGATGACTGTCATGATATTTAGGAGGGCTCGGTGATTAATAGGTGATTGGTTATGGAGGTTTAGGTAAAAGGGTAAATCTTAGGAACTCCTAGGTCTCTGACTCAGTTAGCTGGGTAAGAGCAGGTAAAGTTCATGGAAAGGGAGAATGTGGAAGGAAGAGAAGTACATTCTGTTTGAAGGGCCTGAGAGAGATGCCCAGTCCTGAGTTAGACGCATCTCCAGAGTGGCCCGGGAGAGATTCTGTTAGGTGAGTTGTAGTTGAAGTCGCAAGACTTTATGGCTAGGAGAAGTGTAAAGTTAGCAGCCAGGAGCCCCTAAGCAGTGCAGGGTGAGGAGTTAGGGGCAGCCAGTGCAAGGGGAGGCTGGAAAGAAAACTGAGAAGCAGAACTCAGTGGAGGGTAGTGTCATTTGAACCAAAGAGGGAGGGTGGTTGCAAGAAGAGAGTAGGATCCGCTAAGAGGATGCCGGAAAGGTAGATGCCCCTGGGAAGGCAGAAAGGGACCAGGATTAGGGCAGATGATCGAAAGGGACTCTAGACTTATCTCAATTGATTGAATTATTTGGCAAAAAGAATGTATTCATAAAAGTAACCTTAAAATTTAAGCATTCAATTAGGTTTGGCATTTAGATATTTGATTTTGGGGGCATTTTCAGTGAAAAGAGCACTGGGTAGCAGAGAAATAGAGAAATAGCAGAGAAAGAAACTGTAAAAATTGTCAATGGGAAGTTTGGAAGTGGAGTGTGTAAGGTAGTCCTTTATTAAAGTTGCTTTTCTGTGCCAGAGAAATCAGTGAACCAAGGGTCATTTGGTGCAGAGAATTCTATTATTGCTATTACCTTTTGTGGAGTCTACCTTCCATTACATAAAAAGGGATGGAAAGTGAGAAAATAGATAGACCGTAATTTTGAATCACAAAGTATGAATTTCTTTTCAAAAGTGCTTACCTTCCCACTTACAGTCTTCTCATCATCCCATTCGTAGATTAATTGACATTTAGTAAGCTCCTAATGCATGAGGGGCACTGTTCTTTTTATTTTCTTTATATTGTGTGAATCCTTTCTCTCTGGCACGTACTGTACAGTATGAGTGAAGTGAAGAGAACATTATTTTCTCTGTGTCCTTGGGCAAATATGTACTGCTTCTCAACCTTTTTTTTTTTTTGCATCTATTGAATGGGAAATGTTACCCATCTTTTAAGATTGTGAGCCTTAAAGATGACGTAAAAGTATCTGCATCTAACCTAGCACTCTGTAGGTGCTTAAGACTGTTCAGTATTGCCTGGCTGCCTCCTACTGCCTTCTCTGACTTTTCCATTAAGTGACCATCTTAACCAACTCTTATGATAGTAAAATTCTTCACATCATAAACCAGTGTAAGAGTAAATAAAAGTCGATCACAGTGAATTCAAAACCCTTCCATTCTGAATAAATACACCCATACATAAATACATAAATCATCACTCTTAGCAAAAAATAAAGTAAGAATTTTGTGAACTATCCAATAGTTGTGTGTTTTAACTGAAAACTAACCTGGAATATGTTTTGGCAGTTTGTGTGAGATTTCCTTGTTCTTTTCTTTTATACCCAAAAAGTATTTGAATTCTAATTTTGGGCAAAGTTTTTGCTTCATACCGTAGAACAGTATGACCCCGGGAAAGGTACTTAACCTCTGTGCTTCTGCTTACTCATCTGTAATAAAAGTAATACTTCTCTCTTAGATTGGTTGTGAGGATTAAATGAGTTACCACTAGAAGATGCTTAGAACAGTGCCTGGCCCATAGTATGCATTGATATAGGATTAGGTGCTGCTTCTGGTTTTCTTGTTAGTATTTGTGGTAGGACTTTTGGCAGTTACTGTAAAATATCCACCTCATCGGTTACTGTAAGGACAAACGGACATGATATAAAATGGCCCAGAGTTCCCGTCAGCGTTTCCTCATCTTATTACTGCCATGACCAGCATTAGCAACTGGAGAAGGTGCTGCTGCTGACAGTGCTTTAAAGTTTTCAGTTCGGTAAATTAGAATGAGCAAATGAGCAACATTTAGTTCACGCTAAGAAAGTAATTAATAAAATTGCAGTTTGTTTCCATCATTAAGTCCCATACTTGTTACTTTTCAGACAGTGCTACAGCAAGTGATGGAAGATGGGTCAAAATATGGATTAAAAAGTGAGCTTTTCTCTGGTCTTCCCCCGAAGAAGGTCGTGGTTGAATTCAGGTGAGTGCCTGCTCATCTTAGCCAGTTAATTAATCAACCTGGCTGCACAAGTGGGTGTATCATCTGCAGTCTCACGAAAATACATGGGGGAAAGTTGAAACCAGTGAGATTATATTATTTTCTTAGTAAAAAAAATCTTAAAATCATAGTGAATTGATAATTAAGCCATAAATAAAAAGTTTTGGACTTCAATAAAAAAACAGTCTGCTGATTATTATGAGCTTTTTTTCTTTTTGAGTTTAACACTTACTTTTTTTGAAAAACTAGTTCTTCATTTTAGTAGACTCCTAAAACAGAGGTAATGGTTAATACCATATTAAGAATTTTTAAATAATGTGATTACCAAAGAACAAAACCTTGTAATGTTTGTAGCATATATTTTTTAAAATTACCGGAAGGCTATGCCTCTGAATAGTTTCCATAGTAACTTTCCGATATGCTCTTAGTACAGCCCTCTGATATCTGAACTGTTTTTAGGTAACCAAAAAAGAAGAGAACACTTTGAGAATACAAATGACAGGTTGACAACTCATGAAAATTATTAGAGATATATTTGCTTTCCTAAAAGCTGAAGAAGAGTCTTGCTGAATTGTTTTCCCACATACATACAACTTCCTAGAGCCTTAGTTTTTTTTCGAGTATATATTTCTGTAGAGGATTTTATTTTTTGAGTGTTAACCTCTTATTACATGTACTTTTATGTTGTTTATAACACATTTAAGAATATTATAATTTAAAACTATTACAGAAATTTTTGAAGGAAAGAAATACATCAAACATAATCAACCCTGTCACTATGAATATTACAGTACCATTGAAAAACTTTTTTTTAATTGGAGTGTGGTTGACATATTGACATACAACATTAGTTTCAGGTGTATAAAATAGTGATTCGACATTATGAAGTGACTAACACAATAAGTCTAGCTACCATATGTAACCTTACAAAGTTACTACAATATTGTTGAAGAATTTCCTATGCTATACTTCTCATTCCCCTGTGTGGGGAAGTTGGGGTTCCTATGGCCAGAATCCTCACTGAACTTAAACCACGTGATGATGTACCTGGCCTGCTGCTGGGCTGCCGCTTCCACAATAAGCTATTACTGCTCTATATAGAGAACTCTGTTGGTGCTCTGGGCAGAGGCAGAGATGCTAGTGCTCGACCTGCTACCAGGAGAACAAGCCGGGTAATAAACCCTTTCAACCCAAAGAATGTTTTGCTGTCAGTTTCTTTGGTCACATTGAATCCATAGCGAACTTGCCCGGGCTGAAACCCATTGGCAAGACACCCTGACTTCTTTATTTTATAATTGGAAGTTTATACCTCTTGATCCCTTTCACCTATTTCACCCATCCCCCTCCTCTCCTCTCCTATGGCAACCAGCAGTTTGTTCTCAGTATTTATGAGTCTATTTCTGTTTTGTCTGTCTTGTTTTTTTTTAGATTCAACATATTAGCAAAATCGTATGGTATTATCTTTCTCCACCTGGCTTATGTCACTTAGTACAATACCCTTCAGGGCCATCCATGTTGTCACAAATGGCAAGATTTCATTCTCTTTTACGGCCGAGTAATGAGCGTGCATGTGTGTGTGTGTGTGTGTGTGTGTGTGTCCATCCCACATCTTCATCCATTCGTCTGTTGATTGACACTTAATTTGATTCCATATTTTGGCTATTATAAATCCTGCAATAAACCTAGGAGTCCATGTATCGTTTTGAATTAATGTTTTCATTTTCTTTGCATAAATTCCTAGAAGTGGAATTTCTGGGTTATATGGTATTTCTGTTTTTAATTTTTTTGAGGACCCTCCATACTGCTTTCTAGCTGTACCATTCTACATTCTCACTAGAAAGTGTGGGGAAGTTGGGGTTCCTCTGGCCAGGATCCTCACTGAACTTAAACCACCTGATGATGTAACTGGCCTGTTGCTAGGCTACCGCTTCCACACCTTCGGGCAATGAGCTATTACTGTACTATATAGAGAGCTTGGCCCAGTTCGCTGGGCGGAGGCAAGACAGAAGGGCACAACGGTTCTCTTTTATCCACATCCTCACCAGTACTTGCTATTTCTTGTCTTTTTGATAATAGCCATTCTGACTGGTGTGGGTGATATCTCACTGTGGTTTCGATTTGCATTCCCTGATGATTAGTGATGTTGAGCATCTTTTCATGTGTCTGTTGGCACTATGTCTTCTTTGGGAAAATGTCTAAAAAATGGTCTTCTGCCCATTTTTTAATTGGATTGCTTTTTGAACTTGAGTTGTATGAGTTCTTTATGTATATTTTGGGTATTAAAACCCCTTATCAGATATATAATATCCAATATCTTCTCCCATTCATTAGGTTCCCTTTTTGTCTCTTCTCCTGGGCCCCCTATAATATGTAAGTTAGTATGCTTGATATTGTCCCAGGGATCCCTTAAACTGTCCTCATTTTTTTCATTCAATTTTTCTTTTTGCTGTTGCAGTTGGGTGATTTCTGTAACCCTGTTTTCCAGATGACTGATCTGTTCTTTTGCACCATTTTATCTACTTCTGATTTCCTTCAGTGTATTTCTCATTTCAGTTATTGTAGTTTTCATTTCTGATTGGTTCTTTTTTATATTTTCTATCTCTTTATTGAAGTTCTCACTATATTCATCCATTCTTCTCCCGAGTTTGGTAAACATCTTTGTGACAATCACTTTGAACTCTTTATCTAAAAGATTGCTTATCTCTGTTTTGTTTAGTTCTTTTTCTGATGTTCTGTCTTGTTTTCTTCCATTGGAACAGATTGCTTTGTGTCATCATTTTGCCCAACTGTTTGTTTCTGTGTATTAGGTAGATCAGTTATATCTCCCAGTCTTGAAGGAGTGGCTTTATTTAGAAAATAAATGAATCCAGTAGCGTAAATCCCCCTGGTCACCCGAGCCAGATGCTCCAAGGGTGTCCCTCTGTGTCAGCTCCATGCACCCTCCTGTTGTCCTCGGCTCTGATTGATGTAGACCTGCTGGGCTGCAAAGCCCAGCCACAGCTTACGCAGGTGTGCAGTAATTGGGCCTGGCCTCTGGCCTTGCATGGCTGCAGCAGCTGTGAGCATGATGGTGAGTGAGAAGACCTCTAGCTGTGACTGTTGCAGGTGTCCTAGGGTGTGGGGTTAGCTCCCTTGTTTGGGACTGCTTGGGGAGGTGCAGGGGCAACTGGTTGGGCCCAGGTGGGACTGCCTACCTGTCTTGCCAATGGGTTTCAGCCCCGGGGAGGTTCATTATGGATTCAGTGAGACTGAGGAATAACAATGGAACGTTCTTGGGGTGAAAGGGTTTATACCCAACTTTATTCCCACGGTGGTAGGTCTGTCACTAGAATCCCATCCACTCTGAGCGAGTCTGCCTGCAGCAAGCCGGTCTCTACCTCTGGGCCTCTTTGCGCCTCAGCCGTCTCAGTCTCTGTCCTCAGTGCTGCCACCACTTCAGTCTTGCCTCTGCTCTCCTGCAGCCTTGCAGCCCTGCAGCTGTGCAAAAGCCCAGAGAGCACAGGGCAGAGTTCTTTATATAGAGTCAGTAACACTGTATTGCCCAAACATGTGTAGTGAGCCAGCGTACCAGGGCCAGGTGAGAATCCTGGCCATAGGAACCTTCACTTAGTTCACACTACCACATGTGGCGGGCTGTGGAACCACTTGGGAGGGGTGTTGGCTGGGGTGTGCTAGTTGGACAGGTCAGATCAGGGGTCACCAGATCAGGACCAGCAGTGCTAGTGCAGTAGATGGAGAGTGTCAGAAATGCATCCACCAGCTAGGTAGATGGGGAGTAGAATAAAAGAGGAAAAAACAGCTCCTGCCAGTGCTTCCTTCCCCTGAGAAAGTTCCAACAGATCCCTGCCCCTCTAGTACACGCCCTACAATTTGTCAGTGAATCTTCTTCATGTGAAACCCAAGTGTTCTTCACACTTCTGCCTCTGAGCTGGGACGCAGAGTGAGATATGTGTGTGCCCTTTAAGAGCAGAGCCTCAATTTCCTGCTGCCCTCCAGCTCTCTTGGACAGAAGAAGCCCCACTGGTTTTCAAAGCCAAACATTATTGGGGTTCTGCTGAGCTTGGGAGCCTGATGTGGGGCTCAGAGCCCTAATTCCTCAGGGAGGGCCTCTGAGCTTTGGTTTCCCTCCTCCTTTTGGGGTGGGGAGTCTGTCCTGCCTAGAAGGCATCTCCATCCCACCCACCTGTCTTGTGTCTTTTTCTTTATATCCTCATTTGTTTAAAATATGTTCTGCTAGTCTTCAGAGATAGTTGTTCTATATGTAGTTGTAGTTGCAGTGTGTCTGTGGGAAGAGGTGAACTCAGGACGTTCCTACTCTACCATCTTGGTCCCCTCTGAAGAGGATTTTAAAAAATTGATATGGGAAATAAAATTTCAGATTTCCTAGCTCATTATCACAATTTATGATGATAGCTTAATTAAACTTAGTTTTGATTAGCACCTGGGTAATCACAGGTACATGGGTTTTATGAATTCAGCATTTGTACTGTCTCTGCCACTCATTTGTGTCAGAAAAGCAGACCCTCTCAGACTCAGTAAGGTGATCTGTTTGTGATAAAGGCTGATTGAATAAACTAATGCTCCTATGGAAGGGACAGATACGAATAAATTTTATACTACCAGTGCACCCCAATTGTAATATTTAAAGTTGAGTTTAAACATTTGTGGTGTCATAGGTGAGAGGGACTTCATCTCAAACCAGAGAGGAACTACGCTAAGACCAATCACCAAAGAAAGTTGCCTGTCATTTGACTCATCTCTTCTTGCATAACAAGCCACTCTAATACTTAAAATAGGAATTGGCAAACATCAGTTGCTAGGCAAAAATCAGCCTGTCACATGTTTTGGTAAATAAAGTTTTATTGGAACACAGGCTTGTACACGTTGTCTATAGTGGCTGCTTTTATACTACAATGTCAATTGAGTAGAGTTGAGTCAAATAGTTGAGACAGAAACCAGGTGACCTGCAAGCCTAAAATACC